AAAAAAAAAAAAAAAAAAAAAAAAGCAACATATTACTCCACTGTGTCTGTTTTTATATTATTTTGACCACTAAATCTCAGTATAACTGGGTTTCCTTAGTAATTAACATATAATATATCCTTGGGCCACCCATGTGTTTTGGTTTATGCATTTAAAATCATTGTTCTGAGGGGGTGGTTCACAGGGTCATCAGACTGCAGAGGAGTCCATGGTACAAATAAGGTAAAGAATGCCGCCCTTGAAGGAAGCAAAGAGCTTGTAGTTACCTTTCATCACTCACAGCCTATTTCAGGTACACAAAACTCATCTCTCAAATTCAACTCTCCTCTTAAAATATTTCCTTTTGTGGATCCTTTTCTCTATTTTTATTAACACAGGAGTCCAAAACTATATATTGGGCTAATATCATATTTCAATTCTGAATTTTAAAATGAGATGATTTCTCTCATGATTTTAAGTGGATGACCCCTAAATCAAATGTATTTCCCCAGACTATTCACGTTATGTATTTCTTTGTGTGATAAATGTTTAACTGGCTGAAAAAAATGGAAATATTTATTTCTACAAGTTAAAGGTCACTTTGTTATAAACAGAGACAAACTGATCCTAACTTAGAATTTTAAACCCAGAATACAATGCTTTTTGTATGTATCACTGGGGGAAAAAAGAGGGGGAATAGGTATTTAACAGAAGCTCTACAAGTTACAAAGAAAATGAAGGGCTTCAGAGGCCAAAGTGGTAATGAGTCTTTTCTAACTTGTTACAGAGCAGACAAAGATACAAACTGGAAGAGACATTAAGAGCAGTAGGGCTGGAGTAAGAAAACTACTGGAGTCTAAGTGTCATTTATGAGCTGAGAGAGCCTGGACACTAAACTTGCTCTACCTCAGTTTCCCCATCTGAAAAGAGGAGCTGTTAATACCTCACATATGTACTCAGAGATTAAACTAGATAATGCACACACAGACTCAGCACAACCAGGTAAGACAACTGTGATAATACTGACCCCTGTACATTATCTAGACAACCCAGGAAAAGGAAAGACATGACAAAGATGACAAAAAAATGCTCATAGAAAAGAATACTATTTACATGTACACACTTAAGAAATATGTACTCAATCAATTAGATTAAGAATTTCCTTTTTCAATCTATACACTCACACTGGGTACTTACGGGATCAACTTGCCATATAATAACTGTTGTATCTTTTGATCCTGTTGCTAGTTTAGTGCCGTCGTTAGAGAATTTACAGAACCACACTTCATTGCAATGCTCTGTAAGTATCTGCTGGGTGTAACATGGGAACTGTCTCCTACAACAAGAAGTCCACAAATAATTATTCTTTCAAAACAGATCAGAGTAATAACAATGAAAAAGGTTAAACAACTGACAAAACTGGAGATCAAAACCTTTAAAAATAAGATATGGTTGCACTTGTAAATCTTAAGAATCAATTTTATGTTGGTGCATTGAAAAAGAAAATATAACAGTAGTTAAGGCAATCTTAGAGGAATCGGCAGTAAAGTCTGCTTCAATTTACAATCGTTCTTTTTTTCTCTTTGAGATTAAAAAGAAAAAAGATGTATCCATCACAGAACTTTTTGGCCTGATTAACTGAACTCATATAAATAAAAATTAGTAATCAGGGCTTCATGTTCCTCTGTGTAAGTTGGCTGGCATCAGGTTCTAGAAGGAATAACATGCATTTTCATCATCTATAAGAAAGCAATCTGGTATGAGAGAGAGACCAGGCCCTGCAGTAAGACAAGTGTAGGCACAGCTTTAATGTCTTTGGAAGGTCATGTAACTTCTGAGCCTCAGTTCCCTCCTCTATAAAATGAGATTAGTATACACCAAACAGGATTCTTAGGGTTCTTGTAAGGATGAGAAGTACATCTAAAAGTCTTGGAATGCAATAGCTACTCAAAATTATTACTAATGTTGTTTTGGGGGGAGCACAGGAGAAGAGCACTATATGGTAGGGGCTGGGTTAAAAATGGAAGCTGTAAGAACAGGTGCAGAGAAGTCAGAGTGTAGGGTCTGATTTTGGATCCTGCCTCCACCACTTACCAGCCGTGATTCTGGGAAACTTATCTGATCTCTCTCAGTCTCAGTTTTTCCAACCATAAAATAAAGATAGTAGTGGTATTTGCCTTATACAATTCCTTATACAGGATGAAATAAAAGGGTGAGATAACATGCACAGAGTGTTTAGACTGGGTCTGGCCTTTAACCAGTGCTTCATAAGTGGCAGTTATTATATATATATATTTAAGGGCAGAGAAGTCTATTACCAAGTGAAGTAGGAAAAAGTTACTAAGAGTGACACCCATTATGCACAGAGCTTGAAGGTTTCTATCCCTTTCCAGTTTCTACACCAGCACCGTCCAATAAAGCTTTTTGTGTTAACAGAAATGTCACAGACCTGTACTATCCAACCTGGTGGTCCTGGACACATGTGTCTGTGGAGCAATAGAAATGTGGCTAGTATATTTGAAGCACTTGATTTTTTAAATCTAATTTTAAGTTGAATTATTTTACACTTAAGTGGTCACATGTAATTAGTGGCTACTGTTTGGACTGAACTGCACTATATTTATTATCTTCTTTATATTATAAAGTTATTTAAACATAAATGGATAAAGCTTCAAGCCCATCTTGGAAAACGGTCTTCCCTATATTTTCCCACAACCAATCCATAATTTGAAAATATATCTTGTCAATTCACCATCCTGATGAATTAAAGTATTTAAGATAAACTTACATTTTTAAAAACTTTATCACACACATGGCAATTTACCTTAGCAGTTGGCTATTTGGAGGTTGCTTTAAACTTTCAGATTGTGTACTTATAAACTGCTTTAATGTTGAACTATTATTCTATATCTGAACTGAAACATAATCAGTACAAGTTGACATATATTAAGCACTTACTAGATGCCAAGCACGGTGCTATATACTTTATATACAATATTACCAAGTCTCAAGACTACCTTGCAAGGGAAGTAGTATCTTCATTTTAGGAGACTCCAGGATTTAAACCTAGGCTGACTCCAAGGCTAGTTTTCTTCCTAAATATTTTTTAAATTGTAATTTTTGAGACACTGCTGGGTATAATTCCAAATAAATAAGTACTTTTAATGTAAGTACTTTTAATGTAAAAATTGTTTCCCCCACTCCTATGGGTGATAATATTTATTTATTGAGAAACACTTTATATCTAGGTATAAAATACACAACAGTTCAAATAGCTAAGACTGGTTATCAATGAAAAAATGTACTTAAAATCCTAAAATCAGAGTAGCAAAATGTCCTTAAGGAAGGACTGACTCAAAACCACAGGGCACAATCACAATCTACTGACAATCAGTTGTATCCAAACGTCACTGAAGTAGTATTTAAATGGTCATTATTTTATCATTACTTAAATAATCTTTTTAAAAGATTAATTAAGAGCCCCCAGTTTTTTAAAAGCTGTATTTTAGTGTATACAAGTGATAGCTTATATGTCATTTTCAAGTATATTTAAAATTTAAGATAGTATTAAAAATATCAGTAGCTTCCAACTAAAACTGAGTAAAATGTAGCATTTTAAGAGAACTGAACTGTGACATTTTTAAGTTTCTATAAATATTTTATAACCATCTTTTGCTAAAAAATTAATACTTATAAAGTCATCTGAAGAAAGATCCTTCCATTGTTCGCTGGTGAAAAAACTGCCCACTGCCCACCCCCAACAAAACCCTGTTCCTTACCAGTCAAGTTTAAAGTATGAACATTGCTAACTGTGAAAAATATAAGGACAGTTGACCCTTGATAAACATGGATTTGAACTCAGTAGGTCCACTTAGATATGAATTTTTTTCAATAAATATATAGTTTCTGTAACTAGATGTAAGACAGCAGATTCCATGGGTGATGGGGTTGACAGAAATGGAAAAAGAAAAATTTTATATGCAGGAGCCCTTACAGAGATGAAACCTGCAATCCCAGTGTTATCAGTGCCAAGCTCTCACTTACTGAACTAAATGGCAGCTATCCGAACCAGTCAGAAAGCACCAGGATGTGAGAGGAGCAGAAAGGCTGAAGCCTGAGTTGGCATCTTGTAGGAAGATGGCAAATCTATGCCCTCTGATGCTCACCCCTCCCAGTCCAGGCCTGATCTACCTGCACGCGGTGTTGACCCAAGCAGAGCCAGCACAGCAGCTGATTTGCCCTGTGGGCTCTGTTCCCTGCTGGACCTACCATCCTTCCATTTCTTCTTGCTTTCCTACTCCGTTAAATTGAAAGTTAACCGCCCCATTTGACATACAGTAGGCTATTAGTAACATTTTTGAGAAATCATAACTTACATGTGGAATTTTGACTGCATGGGGTCAGAACCCCAACCCAGCATTATTCAAGAGTTTAAGGCTTAGGAGATACATTTTGTAGCTCTAGCCCAGACTAGGCATCATTAGAATCATGAAATATAACCTAAAAGAGAAGAGTAGATGAGAAAAGGAGCATGATTTGGGAACACACAGGCAAAGAGCCTGAGAGGGCAGCCAGGAGTGAACCGAGAATCCACAAAGTGGGGCAGTCCAAGGAGGAGCGTCAAGGCCAAGAGAGAAGCAGGGACGTAGCCACTGGATTAATGAGGATGCTCTTCCTCACCCTGCACAAAGCCTAATACTACAGAATCTGAAGAGTGAGGGGCTGAGAACGAGGATGGTGGCAGATGTGTAAAAGATAACAACTTTAAGCTGGCTTTAGAACGGAAGCAGGGGCTGGAGGTAGTGGAAACTAGGAAAGCATATAAAGTTTTGTTTTGTTTTGTTTATAAGGATGGGAAGACCTTACAACCAATGGTTATTTCTGAAGAGTAAGAACTTACACATTCCTAGGTAGAGCTTCAAAGTCCTTTCTACAGTTTTACAGGAGCCTGATCCCTCATCTGAAGGTTGGAAAGTTGGACTAGGTACTTTTCATCACTTACTTTCATAGGGAGGGGTACAGAAGGTAAAATACTGAATAAAAATATAGGCCACATTCTCATAGATTCCAGTTTCCTAACAGGAAGGCAAGCTCTTAACCTACTGATGCCATAAATACCTTTCGACATATTCCACCAGCAACAAACTATGAACCAAACAAAGATTTGGACTCACAATTGCGTTAATTGTTAACACTGGTCTCGAATTTGCTGGAAAAGCTATGAAATACAGAACCATATTGCCTTTTAACCTACTGTCTCCTCTTAACTCTACTTAAGTTAAATGAAAAGAAAAAATTCTCACAAAGAGTCAAAAACAGTGTTAAAGAGTAAAAAGAGATGAAGGAAAGGACCTTGTTCTTTCTTGTAGAACACTTAAGACATATCAAGTAATTATCCAATACTTTAAGATAAATTAACACCTAAGTAATTTAAGGCCAATAGCTCAAATAATTATTTTTTTATGGTAACTGGAGTGTGAGAGATGAGATGCAACTACACATCGAAAGAAGTTATGCACATCTGGAAATTATCCCACAACACAGTGCACGTGCGTGTGTAGGGAGAGTGTTTACGGTTATTTGCAAGCTCCTTATTTTCCCAAAGCCCCATACACGTATATGCTTCTGTCCTCTCTGTTCATGCTGCTTCAGTAGTTCTTCAATGATTTTGTCGAAAGAAACTGAGGATGTGCCCTGTAGCTGCTGCTTACATCTAGTTCACTAGGCCTAAATCACTTGCTTCCTGGAATTTGAAAAAGTTCACAATTTGTTTTTCAGTATATTAAAAATGAAAGCTCTGCTATATTTTTTGGAGATAATTATTAAAGTAGTAGGGACTCAAATACTCCTACATAAAAAGTGAAGCCTGAATCCTTCCAAGTTAAGTTATGTATGTGAGTAGGGTTAATTAACAAAACCCAAATCAGAAAGTTGATACCTGTTACTCTAACCACTTTCAGTTTGGAGGCCATCTTCTACTAAAAAGCAGAACTTTCATTATGAAAAAAGTATTCCTATGACTTCTATGGAGAGAAAATAATTTGGGCCATAGCTCAAATAGCCATAATGGCTGGGAAACAGTCACTAAGTTGTTGCTGGCATCCAAGGACAGCAAATACTTGGGTCGCAGGCATAGTATCACTTAGAGGTCCTTAAAAAAATGGCCAGATACAGAAAATGACCAACTACACAGACAAGAAAAGGAAAACTAGTCTTTCGAGCTCAGTTCTCAGGCTGTGGCTTACTATGTAAGCATATGCATGTTTTTCTTAGTTTTCAATTTCAGTACTTTTAGCTTTACTTGTGAATGCTCATCAGATAGGAGTTGTTTTATAGCGACAGGATAAAACTACAAAAAAAAAACATTTAATAAAGCTCATAACTAAGTCCATAAAATGCCAGCCTACTTCAGAACGTAAGAAACTTTCCTCTTACCTACTACAAACATGATCTAAAAGCAGAGACACAGAATCTAGATTATTATCAAGCTTGGTGTTGTGATAGAGGCACCGATCCCTTTGCAGCTCCACTGCCTGCCGCAGAAGGGTCTGTAAACGCCGTGGGGGAAGCATCACTGATGGTGGTAAATAGGCTGTAATAGAAGATAAGACAAAGAAAAATGAAAAAAACAACACTATAAACTCTTATTTAAAGACATCTGCTCATCTTCTGCTTCACATGCCCCTACCCTACTAATATTATGTCCCTTAATTAGAACACTCTGGGCCCTGTAACACAGCATGAGCTCTATGAGCCTTTGTCCATGGCTCCAGCTATGTGGCCACTAGAGTGAGTACACTTGGGTGACAGGGCTTTAATTTGTATGTGGATTTCCTTAAAACCAACCAACCAACCAACCAACCAACCAACCACCACCATTACAATAAAACAAAAACAAAAGCCAACAAAAAAGGCAGTAATGACAAAAAGAAAATCAAATGATGACTGTGTACCAAAGGAAGACTGTGCATCACTAAAAGTGTAAGAAAAATCTCCACTTAAAAAGGACACAAAAATGTCTCAGGTCGGATCAAACTGCTTCTAATGCCAAGGGTGTGGTGAAAATTCAGGACATAACTGGTGATTTTATACTGACACCAATCTATTCTGATCCTCCAATACCTTATGCCTCCCCAACTCCATGGTTTTCTGATTTCTCCACTCCCACCTCAAAATGAAAACATGAAACATACAGAATAGTATGATTTAACCAGAGAAGGAAAGAGAAATATATATATAAATATAATAAATATATGTATTTATATATAAAGATGTGGCAAAAATGAAACCCCTAGTTTAATTTAGAAGTCATACAACAGATTTGGGGGGAGAGTAAAACAGTTTACCTAAGGAAACCCGGGCCTTACCATTGAAATCAACAAAATATTTAAAATACTTATAACTTAAAGCTGTGATTCACGTATTTTTTCTCTAACCACAGCACTTTTCCCCCAAAACAAAAGAGGAGCATCAGTACATAAAACAAATGCAGGGGAACTGCTTGGGGACCAGCATCCTCTCTGACTCCTCAGGCTGGCTTCTTAAGATTTCACGGCAGCGTTCGAAGACCTTTGGTTTAAAGAGCTTCTTCACGGGTTCCCCCTCCTTCCCCTATATAGCCACTGAATAAGGGTATGTCTAGACACAAGCTCCCTAATTGGCTCACAGCTTGTATTTCTAATCTAAGGCAAAACACAGAGCACCAGAAGTTAAGAATCTTACTTTGGAGCTTGTCCAGCAGTTTGGACCGGGACGCCGCCCCTTTGCCTTCCCATTCTGCTTTTGCACGTAGGTCTTCTGCATGGCTACACATCAGGTACCTAAAATAGGACAGAGGATGCACCAAAGATCAAATCCTTTTCTTTGGATTAAACATGGTTGAAAAATACTGATTATACTTTGGTTAATTCTCAGTAGGAAATATATTTCAGTAGAAATTCTACAGTGAACCCAATTTATTACCACAACCTGGCACCTGGATATAATTAATAAAATGAAACAGTAAGAACGAAATATATAGTATCATTGTATTATATTCTAATACAATATTCTCTGACATTTACTGTTGTGTATCATTATATACATGCAGCTCTTACTGTGTGCCAGGCTGTTCTAAGCACTCAACATATATAACTTTATTTAACATTCATAACAATCCTGTATGAAGTAAGTGCTACTATTCTATTTTTATAAATGAGGAAACTAAGGCACAGAAAACATAAGTAACTGTCTTATGGTTAAGAGACAAAGTAGGAATATGAACCCAGGCATTGTAGAGCAGGACTTGCTCTTAACCACTATTTTAACTTACTTACATCTCAAAAGTAAAATGACACCACTCAAAAAACCTTCAAAGAAACTTATACTAAGTTAATTAAATAAAAAAATAACATACCTTCAAGAGTTTATCATAAACGTCACTCAAGAAATGGTATAACTGGATGATAATCCTTGTGTCACCCTGTGAAAGGTATTGAGATCCCAAAGCAGAAAATCTGGGAACTTCTTTATTATTCACTAAATGTCACTAAATTCATGGATTCTGGAGAATACATGAGGGCCCCCTGCTGGAAGTGTGACCCTGACCTTGTTCTGGCTCTTCTCAGAAGAATGGGCTTTAAAAGCAAAAGAGTGATGAAGGCATTTAATTCAAACCTGGAGGTTAGATCTGGCAAGTAACTCTCCTGCTGCTCTGTCTGGTATTCTGTTCTCAGACAAAACTGCTCTTCTCACTTGTGAAAAGGGTATTAAGTAGGGTAGGGAAGACCACATAAGATGGAGTGATGAAGTACCTGGTCCACTACTGGCATACAGGCAGAACTTAAAGGATAATGTAGGTTTCAGCAACATCTCCATTAACATGAGTATCACCTCTTCCTTTTTTAATTGCATACAGCCTTTAACATCTAAATAATTTAACAGTCTCTTACCCAACAGCAGAGCTACTTGTTCTTGCTATTTTGTATATAAGTGCCTTAGCCAAGAGAACTTACTTCTAAAAAATTACTTAAAAAAAATAGTATGAGTAATTCGACTTAAAATATCCTGTAAAAGCTGGATACTGTAAAAATTTGATTTCTAAAATAACTTTTCATAGTAAAATTTGTTTTCAAATATGGAAAAATTGTTTACTTTTAAAATTCTGCTAAAGTGACCTATGATTGCTTCTGTGTTCTTTTGAAAATATACATTTATACCCTACTGTTTCAAATGAACATCTGCTTATGGGAAGTCACATGGTATAACTGAAAGGACATTGGACAGAGGGAAAACTCTCTTTCTGATGCTGACTACATATCTTGTCATCTCTAAGCCATTTCCTTATGTGAAAAATCAAATGGTTAAACTTGATGAAGATCATTTCAGAATAAAAACTGAATGATCAAAAATGATTAAATTATATGTTCTATTACTAGAGTGGAAAATAAGGCACCACGTGAATGGTTTTAAGGTGATACAGAAATCAGACGCATGACAGAGATAATAAGAACAAGGTGATGTGCCAGTTAAAGTACTGAAATTTCCAGAAGAATTTACTATTTCAAGATGTAGTGGTGGGTGAGGACCAATGACTTTGGAGTCAGTCAAACCAGGCTTTGAGTCCTGGCTCTCTGATTTTTTAGCTACATCTTAGGCTAGTTACTTTACTTCTATGAGGCTCAGTTTCCTTATCCTCAAAAACCCTAAAATGGACCCTATGCCTCTTTGGGTCCATCCTTTTGTATCTGAAAAACTCGAATGTGCCAGATACTGTCCCAGATGTGCGAGCTATATAATATAGTGAAAAATGTTATAAAGACAAAAAAAAACCAGAATGATGTAGCTGAGAATGCCTGGAGGATGGTCACAGGAGTGGACATTTGGGCTGGGACATGAGCAACTAGTGGCCAGCTATGGGAAGATTAGGGGAAAAGCATTTAAGATAAAGGGAACAGGCAGAGAAAAGTTAAGGAGCAGAAAGAACACTAGCATTGTTAGAGAATAAAGAATATGGGAAAAGATGCAAGAAAAGGGCTTGAGCAGAGATTGTGGCTTTTAAGTGCACTGGGATGTTTTAGGAAAGGAAGAAAAACAACATAGCTTTACGTATGCATTTATCTGGCAGCTGTATGAAATATACATTGCTAAGGGAGCAAGGATGAAGGCAATGTGACTGATTAGAAGGCTACTGTAATACTGAAAAATATACAGGAGAGATGTTTATGGCTTACGTAGGGTAGAAATTGTAGAGATGCAGAGAAATGGACAAACGTCTTATGGTTTCAGTTAGGCTGATACAGGTTAAAGTTAAAACAAAAAAATTGTGAGGATGAGGTTTGAGCCTTGTGTTTGAACATGTGGGTATAGGTCTTACCATTTACTGAAATGAGGAAACTGGGTGAGAACAGGTCTGTGCAGGGTGGAGTGAGCGGAGGGACAACTGGAATCAAGAATTTTGTTTTGTACATGTAACCCTGAGACACCTATTAAACATCTAAATGGAGACTGTCAAGTAGGCAATTTAGACGTATACATGGAGAGTCTGACTGAGAGGATAATTTACAAGCACCAGCCTATGGATGGTGTATGAAGGCATGGGGGGAGAATGAGGTTACCTCGGAAGAGTGTGTAGACAAAGAATAGAAGGGAGGGCCAGAACCAAGGCTTTGGGCAGTCTAACATTTAAACGACTGACATGAGGATAGAACAAGACTATCTATACAAAATGTTAAAGAAACCACTTGGTACATGATAAGTACACATTTCAAAAAATTGTATAAATCAATGCTGGAAACTTCACTGCTTATTGTTCTTGTAGAAGATTATGCCATTGGGTTTTTACAGATTACAAAATAGCATTTCAATGGCAAAACATATTCCTTCTCCTTTCCACCCACTTAAATCTCTCGCCATTCTAAGATGGAAATCTTCCTAGGAAGACAAAGATAGTTTGTGCATATATAAGTAAATTTATCCAAATATTATCTAAAAATTTAACAATATTTTGATCCTAGGAAAATGTTGAGAGATGTAGCTTTGGAACAGTAACCCTGATAAAAAGAACAGCCCCTTCATTGGCCTGGAGTTTAAGAACCAAGCGTCCTCACCCACTAAGAACGTGAATGCGCTCCGTATTGTATTTCAGTGGCGTCAGCTCACAGCGTAGGACCTGAAGTGCCTCCAGGACCTTGCCGTCCTCCAGGTATTCCAGGTACTTCTGCTGCAGCAGCAAGAACTTCATCCTCTGACATGACAGAAAGCAGCAGTCAGGGGAAAAAAGTTGATGGAAGTTTCAGAAAATGTGCCTAAATAGAACAGTAGAAACCATTCTACTATGCCCTTCAAAGTAACTTTTTATAAAGCATTAAGATGACCCAAAATATTTTGGTTTAATAGAGTCACAGCAGATTAATGTGACTTTGCTTAATTCCACATCTTAATAAAACTCTGCCTTGAACGAATAATCTGAAATTAGGTAAGATCGTTAGTGACACATCAACATAGGAGAAAATGAATTCTGCCTTCAAAACATTCACCTAAAATTTTAAATCTTGTATGAAAATTTAGAACTATTCCAAGTATGCTAAATTTACGTTTTAAAAACACTTTCATATTAGGGAATTGGGGGAGGAGGAGCTTATGCAACATGTTTCAAAAAGATGGCAGAAAAACGAGTTAATGGAGGAATGATTTAAGAGCACTGTGTTTTAAGAGTCCTTCTCTGGAAGAACAACTAAGTAGAACAGAAAGCAGAACTACAGCCACAGGGTAGAAGCTGCAAAGGGTCAGAATTTGGCTTCTCAAAAGAACTATCCATCAAGTGCATCTGAGGTTGATGTACAAGGTGGACAGCACAAGTCTGATTGGGACTCCCTCTCTCTAAAACCCAATGCCAGCCTTTTCTTCTTCAGTAAGAAGGCAATAGAGGGGTGCCTACAATAGAGGGTTGAACTCAAAGGTCTTTAAAATGATTCTGTATTTGTGTATTAGTTTAACAGTGATGCATTTAACTATGCAGCACAGATAACTATCATCAGCTCTTTCCTCCCAAAAGAACCAACCATTTTCAGGCTTATGATGAAGTACTTGGCATATTTAGATTTTATCTGAAAAGTATTTGGCTTTAATCCTTTTTAATGTTCCTTTACTCTAAAACTTTACTTTTAACTTGAAAGTGATCATCACAAACTTAGTAGCTTTTTGCTAGAGGAAGAGATACTTATAAATATCAAGTTTGTAATTTCTTTTAAAAGTTAAATCTAATTAAAAATACCACTGCTAGGAGGGACTCTATCATATCTGCTACTGTGGCATTTAAGCTAACTGATGGATGTAGAAAATTCAGTACATATAGGGACTATATTTCATACTTAAAGACTCCAAGGAATACTGTGACAAAGATTCCAAATCTATTTAAAAGTAAAACCCAATGCCAGCCTTTTCTTCTTCAGTAAGAAGTTTACTTCAAAAACATTAAAAATATACCATCAAAAAAATGGAGTGGAGAAATTACAACTTTCTTACAGAATTAAGAGTATAATAAACTACTCTAGGACATTTTCTATTAGGGACCATTTAGAAGAAAGGCACAAGTTACAAGTTTATAAAAATGGCTTCCAGAGAAAGTAAACAAAACAAACCTCCTTATGTCAGGCATACATGTAAATCTATCTTTTACAAGTGAAATACATCTTTTATGAACATTCCTTACATTTGGTAATAATCTAATCTTAAGTATATAACTAAAGAACAACAGAAAAAATTTCATACTATGAGATATGCTCCTATAACCCTAGAAAAATTACACTTACCAAATTTTACACCTAAAGTTAGACTGACTAATCAATGTTTCAGAATTACCAAGATGACCTGAAAAGTATTCTGCTGTACATGTTTTAGGGACCTTTAGATGTCAAATAAGAAAATACTTTGAAATCTACCAGGTGACAAAAACTAAAAAATGAAAGACTAAGTAAAACAAAAACAACCTAAAAACCAAAGGATTTTATATTTGAAGTATTCTGGACATTCTTACCATTTTGCCTTCTGAAAGAAACTTCAACTCTTTGCGGAGAGTTTATATATTTCCATTTATAAATACACTATTAAAAGTTTCATTTTTTAAATTCAAACATGAGAATTAGTTATTTGTAAATGTTAAATACCGCATGAAACTGGCCAGCATTTGTATTTAATTTCTTTACTAAATCTTCTTAGCCACTGTGAATTTGTGGGAATTAAAAAAAAAAAAGAAATAAAGGGCAAACATTTTTTGGGTCTCAATCATGAAGTCCTCTTACCCCCATTCCCACTTGGCCATTGCAATGTCCAATGTGGGTAGGGACAGTGCCCCAAGTGCTATTTTCTCCTTATTTTCCTACCAAGATCCTGCTAGAACATGTTAGTCTCTTTCTGAGGGGCAGAGGCAGGGCAGGAGAGAAGAAGGAGGCAGAGTAAAACTTTGAGAGAAGCCAATATAAACATGTACTTCTGTACATACAGGGAATGCTATAAAAGCAGTGAAAGAACATTTCTCTCTGAGTCATTTTATCCCAAATAAGACAAAGAATATCCTCAGATATGAAATCCTGGTAGTGTGCCTGGCAGCAACTAACATGCTTGCTGGCCAAACACAGCTAAAGAACTGGTTGACAAAAATATTTATTTTCCTAAAAATCAGTTCAAGTACTTGACACATATGGTAAGGCTGGAGAGTAAAACTGTACTTTATTTCCTAAAATTTAAAGCACTAAAATGTAAATAGTTTCAAGAAAATGTTTTTCACAAATGATGTTAATTATTTACTGAAAGAGTTTAAAAAATCAGGCAGAATTGAAGTTTGCTGAGGGCCTTATTTTTATTTTTTTAAGACAACAAGCTTAAATGAAGAAGAAAAGAAAAAGAAACAGGTTGAGAAAATAATCTATCTTTTCTGTCTTTCCCCAACTCCTAATCAGACCTCTGTTAAGAGATTATTTCTGCTCTCTGATAATTTTTCAGCACCTTTGGGCTAGGAAATATTTCTTTCATTCACTATCTAATAAAAACTTGAAATTGGTAAGTGCTAGGACAGCCCAAAAGACAGTTTTAAATCCTGCTGTTGCCTCCCTATCCTACCCAAAATTTGGACTGATTTATCCTTTCCTCCCATACAATTACATTCTACTCAATGTGAAAGAAAAACTCAGAAGTTACAATAGACAGGAAGTCTGGTTACAACTGTGAAGGCAGCCTCCTAGCTAACTTAGTAGTGGTTCTGACTAACCCTGGAGTAAGATTATAACCAAGTTATATCAGTTAAATCATGACTTGGAGTAAAGGGGAAATTAATTATATTTGAACCATGGCTTTCAAAACTCCTATTTAACTTTACAATATACTAGTTAATTTTTACACATTAAGCTAACATTTGAACACTTTCGTTAAGCATATTTATATTAAAAAATTTTAATATTAAAATTTAACCCCCTTTAGAGATATAAAAGTTTTCTTACGTTATTGATCTCAAATGCCCACCCAAATTCCCCAGATATGGTTAAACATATTTGAACCCAAACTAAAAAATGTTGATTCATGAGCTCAGCTTCCAGTAAATCCAGAGCAAATTCTGCTATTCCTAGTATCATTTGACTGAAAACCATTTAAAAATATAGGGGGGAGGGAGTAGAGTGAATTGGGTCAATAAAAAACATTCAGGTTCAAAAAGTAGGATACAATATTAGTCTAGACTAAGACATCAAATTGTCTGGGCATACAATTAAAATAATTATGTTTTAAACAAAATCCAATAGTTGTCTTCTAAGGTATATTACAAATTTACGCTTAGATTATTTTAGAGATGAGAGGAGTAAATCTAAACATAATTAGAAAGGTAAAAAATTGCTGAACCTAATCTTTAAAAAGCAATTGATTCATCAATGCTCAAAATTAGATAAAACTGGACCCCCTTTCTTTGTGTAAATACCTAACAGTTTGATGGCGAGAGGTCAGAGATTTAATCTTCATCTTTTACTAGATCCTAAAATGCTCTACATACTGAATAGGCTATAAAAAGAAAGGATTCCTCTTTATCTACAGCTACCTTTCCTCAACTTACATATTGCTCCTAATGAAGGTTTCTAATGAGGTTGTCATAATCTAACTCTAATTCAGGTCTCAAATTACTATCAACAAGTAAGAAAAACTTGGGAAGTAAGCCTATTAAAATTTCTACTATTGAATTACAGATAAAATTTCGGTAAAGCTTAAAAAAAGAAAACACCCCCCCACCCACCCCAATCACACATTTATTTCAAAATTGTCCATGTGCAAGTCCTTTACTGTCACCATACAAGCAGTGCTAACTGGTCCAGTGGGAAAAGAACCACAATCCATATTTTGTCCATTAAAATCCATTAAATTGTCTTTATTTTAGGGTCACCTTCCCTTCTGTCAGACCCAATTAAAATATACTGAGGTGTGTTTTTTTTAAAAAACCCCAAACACACTGATTAGGGAAAATTTTAGTTACTGGAAAATTCGTGATCCTTTTGAGCACATATGTTTATCTAACATCTGTGTTTCATTTGTAGAATTTACCATGGAATTGATTATTCCATGAATTCATTTATCAATCATCTCATTCAATAGTAAGTTAAACTTAGTATTTAAAATATTTAAAGAAAAAATATACTAGATCATCAAATTAAGTGAATCCATATTTGTTCATACTTCTTTGCACCTTTAATTCACCTTAAGTCCATTCTCTAGATTACATTACTGTGTAAAACTATATTGAGAATCTAAAAATTTTTTTTATAATTAAGGTTTCAAAAAAACTCCAAAAAAAAAACAAAAACAGGAGGCTCTATTAGGTTTAAAGACAAAGGCAGAAAAATTAATATTTGATTTAATTAAAACCCTCAAAGCAAAATGTAGCAGTCATTTACTAATATTTAACAAACAGCTGGTTTTCCTACTTCACTTCCTATTAGCCTTCTTTCCCTCCCCCACCAGACAGGAAACTGCTTTTGACAACAAATGAATCAGCTAGAAGTTTAAAAAGCCAGCAGCTAGCAGCTGATTCTTCATGGTTTCCAAACACAAGAACTTAGAAAAAACTTATCTCCTCCTCTCTCACCAACATCTACAGAAGAATTAAAGCCTATCAGTATAAAAAATTCATTGAGATTTATGAAAGAGGTTAAGCTACTAAATTGATCTTGTTGGGAAATAAGGCCAGTAAGCAGAGCCCAATGACCAAATTTGCAAACAAACCCCCCACCAGAGTGATACATACTATACAAACTTTGACACTGTCAATTCACACAACTGGAATGAATGCAAGAACAGAAAATGTTGAGCACACTAAAGGAATTGGTTTGAATTAACTAAAATTCCCAAAGATTGAAAAAAAAAATATATCACCTACTTATTTAATTACCTGCACATTCATCATTTTAAGTATAATATAAACTTGATTATAAAAATATAAAACTCCTATAATAGCACTGAAAGCATTAAAGTCTTTCTATATATTTCGTAGAAGCTTAATAATAAACTAGGTCTAAACAACACATTTACTATAGATAATTTTAAAAACACAAATCTCAAACTTTAAAACATCACAAGCAGTCACCCTAGTTTAAAAATTTAATTATATGAAATTTAACTATTTTTAGACCTTATCTTTTACAAGAGACAGAAGACTAGAGTTATCAATAACCCAGTAAAATAAGCATAAATGTGAAACTAAGAACAAAAGTGTATTTACCACAATTATTCCCAACAACGTTTGAGAGATTTCAAGTGCGCCTCTTACCACAATAGCAGGAGGAGAATGCACTAAAGGCTTTAGTTCATTCAGGTCATTTTCTGCCTGCAAAAATTGGTATAAAAGAGAAACAAATATTACACAATGCACAGCAAACATATAATTTTAGCAGCAGTCACACAGCTCTATATGCCCTACTTTACCTTATCCCAGTCTCCTTCCATGACATGATTTCGGAATTTGGTAGCAGAAGGATGTTCTAAACGACATCCTGATTCTTGCATGAGGAGATCAACAGTCTGGCTGCAGGAGAGACACAGTGTAAAAAGACCCGTCCAGCTTTAGGGTTACTCTTCCAAATAAACTCATGTCTATGAGAGCTGTTGCAAAAGCTTTTAAGCTAATCTCATGATGAAAAAAGAAAGAGCTTTAATGTGCTTGGCTACATGAATTTTTCTGAACTGTCACCTTCATACATTTATAGCTGGTCAAGACCCTACTGTTGCCACTTAATGCCTCACAAGTTTGATGAAGTGTAACATTTCTAAAAACATGCTGTAACCAACTGGCTGAATAAATGAAAACACCAGGATCTACTTACTAATTACATTAATACCTTTCCAAAGAATCAAAAGTGTTAGCTTCAAACAAGGTGATAGAGATGACCTCTGTTAGTTAAGAGCCTTACATTCAGATATTATGTTTGCATAGAAATTTTACTAGGTCAATGTTTAAAATTAAAACAAATGCTCCATCAAAAACCATTCCCTTTCTCTCTATACTAAAAATAGCAAATTTACTATGGTGTAGGTTCCAAAGAGTCACGAGTTATTTCCTCCTGCCGCTGTCAGCTTGCTTGTGTCAGTAATACGTTCTGTTAGCATTTACAGAATGTTTTCATACTAATCCTTTTCCTTAGGGAACAAAGTGAAATCTTCCTACAAGTACCCTTTTCTCTGAGAGCTTAGAAGACTTATCAAATGTGCTTTCTTTCATCAGATATTTTGGTATCTAAGATTCTTTATTAGTCTTATATTTGTGTTTGTCTCAATGCTTTTTTATTCAGCTCCATTTATTTTTCAGCCAAACAGTGCAATAATCTGCCTGAGAATCAAAATACTTCAGGCCACTTTCAAGAAGTGCTCTTTCCCCTCCTTCTCAGTAACAAATCTATAAATCCCAAACTACACATTTGCTGGCCTAAGAGCTCATTTTAATCTGGGCCAAGAGATTGTTGCATGTTTTGTTCTTTCCTCTCATTCTGGTTCTGTTTCACCTACCAGCGGGCTCCATGGCACTCTCACCCATCCTGCCTTCCACCACCTCTAGTTCTTTGTGTGCCTACAAAATCAGGTTTTTGGCCAAAGTCATTGTTTCCCTTCACCCTATTTTAAGGTAAGCAAGGCCACCTAAATTGTATTTGAAAACAAATGATTCACCAGATCAGATGTCCCTTTTACAGAGGTAGTTGCCTTCTTGGTATTAAATTGGGATTTGAGATGGGTTAGTGGTAGGTCTTTTGCACGCACAGGAGGGCCATAATGACATCAACATGGTATGTGTCCTCATTATTCCCATCAGATTTATTCAACAGCCTTTTTCCAAAGTATTCCAGCCCCTTGGTTCCCATAAACACTTGTAGGTGATTGTCCTCCCTGACTTGTAGTTGCCTGGGCTGTCTGTCAGAGGTGGGGGTGGGGAGGTGTCCCACAAAGATGCCTACGAGACGTACCAGAAAAGACCCTTTGACGCCCGTTGCCCGGCCCTCCGGGCCAGACCCCGGCGCCCCTGCCTCGCGCGCAGACGGCAGCCTCCGGTTCTCGCGGCCCGGCCCGCGGTCCGCCCCTACCGCGGGCAGAAGGGTACTTACTTGAGCCCTAAGCCATTCAAGTGCTGTCCAATCAGCCTGATGACATCCTCGTCCGACTGGGAGAGCCTCTTCTTCTTCTTGAGGCTGCTGCCCAGCTCCGGGATGGCCGAGGCGGCGGCCCCGCCGGGGACCCCGTTATTGACGCTCAGGCTGTTGCTATTGTTGCCGGCGGCAGGGGCTGCGGGCAGGAGCCCGTTGGCGTGGGCCAGGTCCCCCGCGGACGACGACGGCGAGGGGGACGACTCCCCGTTCTGCGCCGACAGGCAGGCGAGCTCCTGGGTCTGGCCCTGGCCCCCGCCGCCCCCGCTGCCGCCCGCCCCGTTGGCCTGCATGACGCTGCCGCTGACCAGGCTGGGGCCGCTGCCGCGGAGGGGGCCGGAGGCGGCGGCGGGGGCGGCGGCCGCGGGGACGCCCACCACCACCACCACTGAGGACGACGACGACGCGGGCGGCGGGGAGAGGCCTGTTCGGCCTGCCGAAGCCCCGGGCTCTCCTACTCCCTCCGCCGCCGAGGCTCGGGGCTTCTTCCGCGGGGGCGGGGAGGCTCCGCCGGCGTCCGAGTCGGAGGAGGAGGAAGCGGAGGCCAGAGTTTCCTCGCCGAGAGAGGCCGTGGTGGGAAGCCGGGGGGGCGAGACGGGGGCCGGGGTCGGGCGGGGGCCGGGGTCGGGCCGGGGTGACTGGGAGCGAGGAGGAGGAGGAGGGGGAGAAGGAGGATCCGGGCCCTTTCCCCCCCCCCCTCCCGGGGCAGCCCGGAGCGCCGGGCCGGGGCAGCGGCGGGGCGCGGGCCCCGGGTGGCGGTGGCGGCGGCGGCGGCGGGGGCAGCGGCCGCCTGTGTCCTCGGTGCGCTTCGCTCCGCTCCCTGGTGTGTTGATTCTTCCCCCAGCTGCTGCCTAATGGAGTCCAGGCGCCCGCGTCACAGGAAATGCCTATACTGCCCTCCTCACTCACTTCCGGTGGCAGGTATGGACACTATAGGGGCCTGTCACTCGCCTGTGCGCCCGGGGCTGCGGGGCTGCGGGACGGCCGGCGGGGCGGCGCTGACCCATGGACACGGCCGACTCGTCCCGGCGCCGAGCTCGGTCCGCCGCCTCCAAAGCCCGGCCGGGCTGCTTCAGCGCAGCGCCTGTCACCGCGTCGAGGCTGGGCGCGCGGGCAGCGTGTGCGTGTGCGCGGGCCTCGTGCGTGCGCGTGGGCACCGGCGTGTGCCTGGGCCGTCGGCGGGAGCCGGGCGTGGAGCGGACCCATACGGTGGCGAACTGTCTCCCAAGAGGCAACGCGGGTGCAGCCCGGGGGGGCGGCCTCCCCTCGTGCGGGAAGCACTCGTCTGCACAGCCGGCGCCTGGCAGCTGCCACGGGGGCTTGAGGACGGCAGGTGAGACCGTGCCCTGACGGGAAGGTGGCGCCCCGCGAGCGCAGCTCCTGGGGACCGTCACAGAGACGGCGTGCAGGGGCTGGGCAGGTCTCCCAACCAGGCAGCAGGGCAGGCCGAGCAGCCGCCTCTAGCCCGGCGTCCCGAACAGAACCCGGCCTCCTACTAGAGAGCCAGGCGTGGCATTTTTAGGTGAGACGCGAGGCTTCTTGTCGCTGTCACTTGCCCGTGTATGTGGGGTAAAAAGGCAAAGGCGAGCGCTGCAGGACCAGTTGTCCCTAAGGTGCCGACATTTCCTCCCAAGGGTGGTCTGCAGTGCTTTGCCCTGGAGACCACAGACACAGCCATGTCTCCGAGGGCTCCCAAATGTGCACTAACGATTTGAGGGCCTTTGAATTTAGACATATGATCTAAAAACGATGTTTGTGAAAGAAAAGTTCTTAAAGAATCTTGAGCCCTGTTGACCCGCAGACTGAGGGAGGAGGGGCGACCGAGGCGGAGATGGAGCTTCTCTTACCTCTGAAGTGGCTCCAGGTGGCCGCATTCCCCTTGTTCGGCTCAACTGAGGCTGACCTAAGCCCTGGCCAAGCCTCGTGGGGCGCCCTCACTGTGTCCGGAGCCTGAATTACTAGACGGTCAACACCTTCAGAGATGGCTATTTGCACATTTAGTCAACCTTGTGTTACTGTTTGCATGAAATTTAATTTTTGCGAAGTCGCCTGTAGTAATTTATTAGGCCCATAACAGCTTTAAGGACAAGCTTCTTCTGAACAGTCTGCAACTAACGTGAAGGAAACTATTACTTCGTGGTAGCTGCTGACAAGGCCCAGGCTGCATAAACAAAAGGATGAAAGGAAAAAGAAAGGGAGTCCGCTGCTGTCTAAATTCAAATGGCTATCCCAGGTTTTCTATTTTTTTTATGTGACCAAGGCTGCTCTCAAAAGAATCCTGAATTTATGAAAGCCCAGGTGCACATGCATTTTTCTCTATGCAAAAATACTATTGTCTGAACGCTGGTGGTTTTTAGGGCCAGGTTTCAAGTCCACGGGCAGATGAATAATTCTGACACACCACTCAACACATGCTCAGAAACCTTCAGTAGCACGATGTTACCTACGGGATAAAATCCAGAGTCTGTCCTGCTCCCCGCAGATTAACCTCATCCTTGTTTTTTACTTTATCTCTTACTGCTCCCTTTTGAGCCCTTCATTACTCTCCCCACTCCAAAAGTGCTGAGCTCATTTCTTCTTGACTCTGGTCACACCCTCCCCGCTTCTCTCCGCCCTCTGATTCCTGCTTGTCTCAAGACTCAGCTCAATTTCAGACCTCCTCAGGGGAGCCTTTTCTGACTTACAACTTCTTAGCCTTGGTTGTGAGTAGTATTTATTTAGCCTCTGATTTTAAAGGTACTGTTAAAAAGTTTTTTTCTAACTTGCTAAGACCCCTTCCTCAAGTCATCAGAAAGCTGTTCTAGACCTCTCTTCCCCTGATTGACCTCTTCCTTTCACCTTCCTGGAAAAGACTGAAGTGGATTAAGGAATGAAGGTCCACGTAGTCTTTCAGGAAAAAGAAAATTGAATGTACATTTAGGTGTTGGACTCACTTTGTTTCTGTGCTATTTAAACAAGTCTTTATATGATCAAACCCATGCTAGCTTCCAAATAAAAGGTAGAGCTTCTTGTCCTAGAGATATGCAAACAAAGGCTTTCAGATATATCATTCTGTCAGGGATGTTGTAAAATAAGTTACAGAGAAGATAGTTGAACTAACTGACCTCAAAGGACTTCCCAGCTATGAGTTGTCTGTGAACTATGTACGTATGAGACTCCCAATAGCATATAAATTCTCTGAGGCAGAATCTCTGTGTCATTCACCCAAGCCAGTGTTTTTCAGATTGTGGGTCATGAACCATTTGTGAGTCATGAAATCAGCGTACTGGTCTATAAGTATGATTTTTAAAAGTGATATAGGAAAGTGTAAAAGCATAGAAAATATCCATGTAAATAACCCATAAAAAGGATAGTTATTATTTATGAAAGTGTTTTAGTGACAGATACATGTCCATGTTTTACAGAGTAAAATGCCCATCTTCTGAAGGGCATTCTCAAAGAAGTTTGAAAAACCCTCATCTAGGACAGTACTGATCGACAAAAAGGCAACTCAAGAAATAGGTGTTAGATATCTAAATGACAAAACACTAGTATTGTCCAACACAGCATCTTAATTGTGAAAGTTAAAAGCTGCTAGATTTAAAAAAGCTGAGTGAGGTACTATGGGTGTTTATAATAAAACATAAAGCCAAATTTTCACAAAAGTCTTTGTAAAACTAATATAGACTATTCTTGTCTGTTGAGGTTTAAGTTTGGCATCTCAACCTGGTACTTAGCAATATCAATATTATTCAATTTATTAAATTTGTTAGGAAGAGGTAGTTTTCAGGATCTCAGCTATCACTGGGGAAGGGTGTATTTATATCTATTTCTCGCTTCATTTCTAGTTTTCTTTTTTGGGGGGGTTCTAAAGTGGGCTAGCTGGGCTTACTAGACTTAGGTGGGCTTGGGAGATTTCAGGAGGGAGCACAGTTCTTGCAAGGCAGAACACTTGGTAACCAAGTGATCTTTGGCAAGCCATCTGACTTAGCCACCCTGCAGTCACTTCATCTTCTGAGTGCAGATACTGACTCTGGGCTGCCCGCCCTCCTAGAGTTGGTGTGTGAGTCAAATGAGATAACAAGTTTGACAAATATTTGAAAAATATTTGAAATGTTGAAACCTTTCAAAATATATTTTAAATCTAGCATTTCAGAAAGGATTTGAGACAACTAAGTGCAAAGATATAAGATACTTTTATATTTAATAATATTCCTGAGCTGTGGACCTTGTTGTCACCTTTCTTTTCCCAACTCTGCCCCTCAGCTGTATTCTTGTGCACCTCTAGGCAGACAGCTCTGGATACCCTTCTTCAGATCTGTTTTCCACAAGTGGGAGTTCTCACACCATGGGGTAGAATGATGGACACAGTCATCTGGCAGCTTACCTGCTGTCCCATGTATGTCTCTCTAGCGCTCAGTTATTTCCCCTTCTACCAACTTTCTGTTCATGCCTTGAGCATGTGGCACCCTCCTGTAAGCGGAGGGTAGGGGTAGCACACCAGGTTGATCTATGTGCAAACACAGGACTCTTGTATCACCACCAGAGCCTTTATCCTCAGAAGAGAACAGGAAAAAATACTTTTTTCTTAGCTGAAAGTAGTCTTTGTCCCAGTAGCTATCTCAGGCTGTTTCTGAGATCCATTTGGTTTACATACCAGCATCTTGGGAAGTTTCCTGAAGAAACTGAAATAAACCAAGGAACCTAGGTATTGCTTTTCCCATCACACACGCCAGGTAGACTGTGTGGAGTAGCTTGTGCTTGCTGCATTGACTTTGGTGGTGGGTCACATAGAAAACATGCATGTAACACTACGTATGCAAAGACATCTACTGAAGCTTTGTGTGTAAGAGCAAAAAGAATGTGGCCTCTTAGAGAGGCCAAGATGAAAGTAGAGTCAAGATATGTTATTAAGTAAAAAATGCATACAACAATACTGCATAATATAATTCATTTTGGTAAATAAATGAAAGTATATGCATAGGTTATTTTTTCTGGTAAGATAGAAAAGCATAAATTTTTGGGTGGAAGGACTTGGGTGTTAGGAGGTTTCTTATTTTTTCCATTTCATACTTTTCTTCAGTGTATGCATTTTCTAACCATAAGTGTCAAGGGGTTATTTGAATTTTGCTTTTTTTGGGGGGGGTTGTAAATGTCGTTTTTAAACACTAGTTTTTTTTAAAGTACCCTCAAGCCATCCAAGTATTCATGAGAATTTAATCATAACATGCCAGAGAGAGCAGTGTTGTGTATACTTACTTGAAATTAAATACATTTGTTTTTTAAAAATCTGCTTTCCCTTACTTGTACCTCCTGTGTTCTCAGACTGCTAATCTGCACGTTCGCACTCCTGTCTCTCATTTGGTTAAATTCATCTGGGGAATAAAGGGCAAAAAGACATCCCTATTTATTAACTTTAAAAAGCAGATAAATAATTCATAGCCCCTGGAGCCCCTACACAGTAGACAACAGGCCCTTTGGGCAGTCTTCCTATCCTCCTTTCCTGTGTGCTGCTCATCCCTCCGGCACGATGAGAATCATAAGAATCTGTGGCACAGCACAGTTCTGATCATTAAAAACAAATTCTAATTGTTGTGAGAAAGCATGTTTTCTGAATATGTATATACGATGCATACAGAAGTAACAGTCTAATGGCTAGACTTTTAAAAATTAAAAAGCTTAAAGACTATTCAAAGGATCCCTGAATTTTTTTGGTTCATTATTTTTATGTTAAAATCCTACTCTTTAGTACTAAACATTTGGGCAAATTTGAAACATTATAATAGGCCAGATGTTTTGTAAAGAGTTGGTTGGGTGAGTCCATGAATGCCGGTCATTAACTATGAAAAAACAAAACAGTAGCTCTTAGCATTTTTTGTGGCTTGTGGAGCAGCATGGCTAGCTCGGGACTGACTAGGGTTTGAGACTTGCTGGTTCCTTCCTTTAATGCTCATGAGGTTTGCACCTCCACACTTATGAGCAGTCTTTGTATATACATTTCTGAAGTGCACTCTCTGCTTTTTGCTTACCTCTGACCCTTACCTCAGAATGTCTTTTTTCTATCCCCAAATTACTGGTGAATATTATGAGAATAGATGGAAACAGATGCATGCAATAAGGTTTGAACACTGTTCATTTCATTTTGTTTCCTAGTGTCCACTCTGTCCATCCTCTCCTTCCTTTGCTGTGATGGCACATGTCCATAGCAGGGCTTCTGTAATAACAAAATACTACCAAGAGCTAACACCAGGCATTGGTTCAAGTGCTTTGTACCAATTGTACTGTTTGGATCTTCAGCCAATATTATGTGCTTTGTACCATATTGTACCGTTTGGATCTTCAATCAACATTATGAGGTATATATTATTATCCCCCCATTTTAATGATGAACTGAAGCACAGAAAACTTGAGGTTACATGACTGGTGTGTGGGAGAGCAGCTGTGTGCCCAGCCCCATGCCACACTGGTTCTCAGGGATGGCTGGTATTAGTCTGAAAAATACTCACTGCTTAAATTCCTAGGGGTCTGAAGAAGAAATGGATTGAGCCCTGTAAATTACTTTTTGAACTTTGCTCCTTTGGTGTGTATGTGTAGGAAGCCTTGGTCCCTCACCTTGGACCATCCTTCCATGAGCCTAACTAGTGGTGGGTAAGTGAGCCTGTGCGGAGTGGCAGTGAAAGGGTTTCCTTACTCAGAGAGTGCTTGAAAGCTCCTAATCAGAGATAAATGTATGTCTCCAAGAATTCCTTGTTGAAATGCAGCATTTTGGCTAGAAGGGGTGGCACACTAGGTTGGTGGGACCTAGAGATTTGTTTGTCAATTTATTGGACTTCACCTTGAAGTGGTGAGTGAGGGCCAGAAGGAATGAGTGAGTTTTCCTTCCCTGTGGCCTAGGAATGTGCCAAACCGAGAGGGCTTCTTGGGAGGCACAAGAAGTCAGGGCGTCCCACATTGGTTATTTTTCAACCACTTTGTCTATTTAATGAGTTTGGAAACTGTGTAAGCTTATACTGGTGTAGGATCCTGGAATATGAAAGAGCCAGACCTGATTTGTCCAGGAATTCATACTTGAGTACTTCACTTCATTAGCGACTCCAGCCAGGTCTGCTGGCAAAGGAAGCCACAGCTATGTAGCTGAGGAGGCAGGTGGCATAAGCTGAACATCTAGGGATAAGAAAGGAAGGCTCAGCTTAGAGAGGCTACCAGAGCTTCTGGTTGGAGTCTGCTTTTTCAGGGAGGGCAGCCAGGCTGCTTAGAGACCTCACATTGGCACACACCCCAAAAGATATGGGTAAATGACTGCTCTGCCACATCTGTGTCCTTTGTAATGCTTCTTTTTTAACTGCTTCTCTGAGGGTAGGTGCATTATGTCTCCTCTGCTGCTTAGTGTCGCAGATGTGGTTTTAGATACTTGATTTGATAATGAGGGAATGGCCACACGGTGTCTTGAGGTCCCTGTAGCCTTGGTTCAATGCTTACGGTTCCTGTTGTCACTACAAAATATCATTTGATTAGGGAAGGGGTTGAAAAGAGGAGTCATAAATAGGCCAAAAGCACAAAACCTTGGGCATGAAGCTTTAAAAAAGGTTTTATTTTGCAAGATTTTAAGCATATACAAAGGTAGAGAATAGCACGTGATTCCCATGTGCCCACCATACAGCTACAACGGCTATCAACTCCTCCATGCTTTCCTGTCCATCCTGACTCTTCCAATTATTTTTAAGCTAATCCAAGATGTCCTTTTGTTTGTAGTCATACTTCAGTATGTAGCTCTAAAAGACAAGAACTCTTTTAAAAACCTTGCCATGATACCATCATCACACCAAAAAAAAACTAATAAACCTTTAATTATCATCAAATATGAAGCTAGTGTTCACATTCCCCCAACTAACAGATTATTTTTAAACAGTCAGCTTGTGGAATGCAAGATCCACCACACATTGCAGTTTGATATATTTCTAAACTCTCTTTCTTTTTTAGGAAACATGAAGATACAATATATACAGAGGAGTTCACAAATCCTTAAGTGTACAACTTGGTGAATTTTCTCTGTGAAACTGCCACCTGTGTCATAGAACATTACCAGGACCTCAGCAGTATCTCACTGTACTTTTAACTTGCACTCCTCTGATGACTAGTAACATTGAGTCCTTTTTAAATATATTTTCTGGGCCATTTGGATATTCTTTTCTATGAAGTGCCTTTTTAAGTTTTTGCTCCTCCCCCCTTTTTAGGATTGTATTTCCCTTTTCCTATCAGTTTGTGGAATTCTTTATGTGTTCTAGATAGGAGTCCTTTATTGGATAAATGTACTGCAGGTTTCTTCTCCCACTGTGAGGTTTGCTTCTCTCTTAATGGTGTCTCGATGGCAGAGGTTCTTAATGAAATCCAGTTCATCAGTTGTTCCCTTTATAGCTTGTGCTATTTGTGTCCCACTTTAGAAGTCATTCCCTGTACTCTAGGGCATGAAGATACTCTCTCGTTATCCTCTGGAAGTTTCAGGCTTTTGCCTTTCCAATTTATAGCTACACTCCTCCTGGAATTTAGTTTTGAGACCAATGTGAGTTAGGGGTCACGGTTCATTGGTGTTTCTTGTGCACATCTGATGGCCTGCACTATTGTGAACAGACCTTGCTTTCCCCTTGATCCTGTGGTGGTATCACAGTCATAAACAGAGAACTGTACATATGTGGGTCTGTTCTAAACTCTGTTCTCTTGGTCTTTTTGGTGTATCTTTATGCTTTAATTGACAAAAGTTTGTGCTAATACCATACTGCCTTAATGGCTGTGATTGTATAACAAGTTTGGCCATCTGGTCATGTAAATCTTCCAGCTCTGGTTTTCTTTTCTTTCTTTATTATTTATTTATTAATTATTTTTGTATCATCAATACACAATTACATGAGCAACATTGTGGTTTCTATATCCCCCCATTATCAAGTCCCCACCACATACCCCATTACAGTCACTGTCCATCAGCATAGTAAGATGTTATACAGTCACTACTTTTCTTCTCTGTGCTATACTGCCTTCCCTGTACCCCCACTGCATTATGTGTGCTAATCTAATGCCCCTTATTCCCCTTTTCCCTCCCTCCCCACCCCCACCCTCCCCAGTCCCTTTCCCTTTGGCAACTATTAGTCCATTCTTGGGTTCTCTGTCTGCTGCTGTTCTGGTCCTTCAGTTTTTTGCTTTGTTCTTATGCTCCACAGATTAGTGAAATCACCTGGCACCCATCCCCCTCCACCTGGCTCACTTTACCGAGTATAACACCCTCCAGCTCCATGCATACTGCTGCAAATGGTAGGATTTGTTTTCTTCTTATGGCTGAATAATATTCCATTGTGTATATGTACCACATCTTCTTTATCCATTCATCCACTGATGGACACTTAGGTTGCTTCCATTTCTTGGCTATTATAAATAGTGCTGCGATAAACCTAGGAGTGCATATGTCTTTTTCAAACTGGGCTGCTGCATTCTTAGGGTAAATTCCTAGAAGTGAAATTCCTGGGTCAAATGCTATTTCTATTTTTAGTTTTTTGAGGAACCTCCATACTGCTTTCCACAATGGTTGAACTAGTTTACATTCCCATCAGCAGTGTAGGAGGGTTACCTTTTCTCCGCATCCTTGTCAACATTTGTTGTTCTTATTCTTTTCTATGTTGGCCATACTAACTGGTGTGAGGTGGTATCTCACTGTGGTTTTAATTTGCATTTCCCTGATAATTAGCGATGTGGAGCATCTTTGCATGTGTCTGTTGGCCATCTGAATTTCTTCTTTGGAGAATTGTCTGTTCATATCCTCCACCCATTTTTTAATAGGGTTATTTGCTTTTTGGGTGTTGAGGTGTGTGAGTTCTTTATATATTTTGGATGTTAACCCCTTGTCAGATAGGTCATTTACCAGCTCTGGTTTTCTTCTTCACGATTCTCTTGACTATTCTTGGCCTTTGCATTTCTTAGTACTGTTTCTTGATTTTCTGTATGGGTATTGCAAACCTTTTATTAGATTTATTTCTATGTGTTGGGTGTTTTTTGACATTAATGTAAATGGATATGTTGTTTAAAATTGTATTTTCCTCTCCTTGTCCTAAAACTAATAAAACAGGTGCTTTATCTCCAAAGATAAAGTCCATATCAGAACTATTCTTCAGTCTTGAGTTTAGCATGTTTTCACAGTTTATACTTGCTTTCCACTTACAAATAATCTAACAATACAGCCAGTCTTTCATTCTTTCAAAGGAGCAGATTTAAACTCTCCCTTTGGAAGAATCAGGAAGAGAGTGGTTCCAGAAGTCTTTAGATGGGGAAGGAAGGATTCTCCTGGGAAGAACTCATTGTAAAGGAGTGGGTGCCAGGCTGGACCCATCTGACCCTGTAACAAAGCTCTGCCCCTCAGGGAGGGAGATATGTGGTGTCTGTCACTCATTTGTCTTCTAGGTGGGTGCCCATGGATGCATGTCTTTTGAAGGGTGGTTTGAGAAGGGAGCGTTGCAAGTAAAAGACACAAAGAGCTCTTGCTGGTACTTTTAGGAAACCCTGGGCAAAAACTGTATTGCTTTGTGACCCATTTTATATCATATTACAAAAGGGGGCCATTGTCCTTTACCTTAAAATGGAACTCCTGTGACTTTGGCACTTTATGGCAGGACCTACTAGAGGCTTCCATGGTGCCAGTAGGAGCAGAGGTAGGAACGATAGCTTACATTTACTGAGTGCTGGCTGTGTGCTAGGCACTATTCTGAGTACTGTATAAACATTAACTTGTTTAATCATCACATTATTTTACAAGGATGGAAATTGGGGTATACAGAGAGACTTAGATAACTTGCTCCAGGTCACAAAGCTCACAAATGGCAAAGCCAGGATTCAAGCCCAAGCTGGCAGGCACCAGAGCCCAGGTTGTTAGGATTAGACAGCCTCTTGTGGCAGCAGCCCATGGGACTGGGGCAGGAGACAAGAAGTAAACCGGATCCCTGCATCCCTTGCTCCTCAGCACTTGTGAGAATGTCATGAGGACTATGAGAAAGGTCTTGGGGTGGGGCAGGGATTACTTTAGAGGGGTCTGGGGCTAAATTAGCAGTTTAGTCAAGAAGTGAGGAATAGGTGAAGTAATCATAATTTGATCTTTAGATTAGATTTACAGATTTAAGAAACATTACATTAATTTGTTTTTCAATCTTATCACCTTTAAACTTCCTTGGAGTAAGTGGAATCATGGCTCCTGGTCTGTTCTTTCTCTGAGGTGACAGCACATCTATATTTAGAACAATAGTCATGCTTCTGTGGTGATGGATCAGTGTGTAAACGTCTGAGCATTGAAGTAATTATCTGTATCTTTATGAACAGATAG